AAAAAAAAAGGTTGCTGCTCAGCCCAGGGCTGAGGTCCCACTAGCAAAAGGGATAGGATCGAGCTCCTGAATCTGGACGTCTTTTAAGCAGAGATGCAGAAAAGCAGTTCAATCTGCGATTTCCTGCACATCTCCGTAAACTCGTCCAGATTCGGGAATTCGATCCGATCCTCTTTGCTAGTGGGACCACACCCCTGGTGACTACAACCGCTAAGATGTGCGGGTAGTTCAACCCCGGGGGCCAGTTCCCACTTGCACGGATTAAGAGATTTCGGCCGTTGATCTTTGCTATCTACGGTCAGTATCTCTTAATGCGTGCAAGTGGGACCTAGCGCCGGGGGCAAGTTCCCACTTGCACGGATTAAGAGATTCTGGCCATTGTTCTTTGCTATCTTTGCTATCTACGGTCAATATCGCTTAATACGTGTAAGTGGGACCTAGCCCCGGGACCGGATCCCACTAGCAACGAGGATTGGATCGAACTCCTGAATCCGGACGTCCTTTTTGGACAGGTGCAAAAAATCGAGATTGAACTGCTTTTCTGCCTCTCTTCTGAAAACTCGTCCAGATTCAGGAGCTTAATTGAATCCTCTTTGCTAGTGGGACCTCGCCCCCTCCAAGATGGTACAAAGGTGATGGTAGGACTTGGGGGGGGAGTAGGGCTGTGCTGGGGAGAATTGACGATAGGATAGGAAGGGTGGGAGGGGTCGGCAACTTTAAGGGGTACTACAGAACCCTCAAAGAAGAACAAGAAACGAGGATGAAAAAAAAAGAAAAGAAAAAAAAAAAGAAAAAAAAAAAGAAGAAAAGAACCGAGGATGCGAGCGGGCATATGGGCACGAGCTCACAACCCACCAAGGTCTTGGCGGAATCTCCCTGCAAATGCGGTCAGTCAGATCCCAACGCGCGCGTGTTGTTGTGGTTTCGTTTTTGTTTTTGTTTTTGTTTAATGCACTTGCATTCCTAATGTGTGTTTGAAAAAAAAAAAAAAAAAAAAAAAGTGGGTTTGGTAAAGGGAGAACAAAAAGGTTAAAAAAAAAAAGGGTTTGTCGTTAGCTTGGACACCCTAAATTGTCGAGCTCGTTGGCCACGGTATTGCTCGACCAACCATGTGGAGGAATGATACACATGTGACTTTTACTGTATGGAGCAAGGGCTCGAGTCCCACGAGGGAGCCGTGCTCACAGCCGTGATCTCACACCAGTCAGGAGAACGAGAACAGACCATGAACTGGAATCCCACAAGTCAGGGGGGTGGGGGGGGGGGGCGGTACGCGCACTATCCCACCGGAGTTGCGGCCGCACCAAGCAGCAGATGCATGTGGCTTGCAATTACGTCTGGAAATGCCAAAAAAAAAAAGAAAAAAAAAAGAGTACAAAGGTCCTCGAGGGAGTACTCTGCCCTTGTCACATGCCTAGAGCTGTCTGTTCGGGAAGAGGAGGTTTCAATCAACAAGCCGGCGGGGGATCGAAGCCGCCGGGGTCACGTACATATAGCAGCGTTAAGTAGTATCAGCTTTTCGGAAATAATTCGCCCATTATCGAAGTTGCCGTGGCGCGTGAGAGAGGGGTTTGCCGTCGGGTTCCGCTTGCCTCCCGCGCGGGGTTGTCGTCCGCACCGCGGCGCTCGCGCGCTGGCGGAGCGCACGGGACAAAACTTCGTCTTGTCTCGTCTGACGAACCGACCAATCAGCGCTTATGGGAGTTTGATTGAGAGGCCCGCAGTCCTAGAACCGAGGGGTCACGTGCATACCAGTCGGGGTGTCTCGGCCCTAAACCGGAATCCTCGGGACGATAATCATCGACGAAAGAGACCCACGTGGTCGGCCGAGAGGGAGGAGGACTCAGAACGGACGCCATAGCCAGTGTGTTTGCAAACGGCCACCTATGTGCGGTGCTCCGGTTTGGGCGGCGGCATACCATCGAAATCGGGCGGGGGAGGAGAGCGAGGGGGGCTTGCTTTTCTGCCCATCGGAGGGGTTTGTGCGCAATTTGCCAGGACGGCCGGCATAGCCGCCGAGAGTGCAAATGAAGTCCACGAGCAGCTCATTTCCAATCGAAGAAGAAGACGGAAAAAAGGAGGAGGAGGAGGAGGAGGAGGAGAAGGAGGAGAAGGGGGAAGAAACCACGAACGGAGAGCGAACGATGACGGACGATGGCACGCTCTTGTGATGCTGCTGCGTGCGGGACCGATGTGAAACGGGTGGCGTAGACAGAGCCTATACAGACCAACCTATTTGCCCAGCTCCTATCCCTTTGGGCAAGCGCGTCAGCGAGGGAATCCCTTTGGGCAAGCGCGTCAGCGAGGGAAGGTGTGGCGACAAGCAATATACGAGAGAATGCGGAAACGGCCGTGTTGCGGAGGAGATCAAACGGCCTGCATACGGAAGACAACACTTCAAAAGGCGGCTTGCCAGTACGCATGTCGACGGCATATTGATGGCAGAGCAGCTGCTCGTCGCTGCGGCGAGTAGCCCACGAGGTGAGAGAAGTG